AGAGGCCCCGAAACCTTTGTCCACCCGACTAAAGCCATTGCAACTACTCCACTAATGCTGATGTTTACTAACTAGTCCGATCCACAATTAGCATCTCAGAACCGTATGCCAAATGTCTTTCTGCTTGGTTTGCTCTTTATATATACCTCCTTCTCCTCACTTCTGCAGCGTGCAGAAGCACAGATGGATTCACAAGAACCGCTCCAATTCACACCCCGTTTCTCCATCTGGCTTCCATCCTTGTTCTTGATAGACTCATTTCTGCACCTTGCGGGGGGTTACCTCGCACAATTCCCGGCAAGTGCAAGATCCCTGAGTCCTAGAAACATACTGGTGCAACAAAAACAAGCAGGCTGCCCCCAGGGTGGTGCATACCTTCCCTCCTCGTCCGGCTGGGTGCTCCAGACCGATGCGGATGGCGCATGTGGAGCACGGTCTCCCCGCTGTCCCAGAGCTCGAACACGCGTGACACCTGGCGACGCCGAGGAGCGGTTGGAGCAAGACGAACAGCTGCGCAACGCTTTGGGGGGAACACTACTTGTTCCTAGTAGCGAACCTTGTTACTACTAGTAAGGCACTTGTTACTAGTAGCTTATTGTTTCACGAACAGCGAGACGCCACGTGAAGATTATAGCGTTTTTGCTCCGTTCGTAGCGTCCGATCGCTCCTAGTAGATGCCAGGAGCCCCGAATAGCTTCTTGTTCCTAGATGTGTGACCTCTTTCAAAGTTGAGACCACCTGCGTTCTTTGAGATCTGATCTGCCTGCAAAAATGACTACAGTCTAATTTTGAAGAAAGAAGAAACTCATTCATGATCATTCATGTACTCTACTACAGACCTCTTGGGCGCTCTGTTCATGTCCGCATGCAACTTTTGGGTCCCTTTGAACCAGATAGCGCCAGATCATGTGACATAGCGACTCTGGAAGGCCTAGTCCTTTGATCCTTTGCCACAACGCGTTTTGGACCGGAATGTCTTGATCTTCCTGATCCCCCATTCCAGACCTTTCTTAGAAACTGAGTGGTTCACTTCGTAATACGTCCTTGAGACATTTCCACCTGTGTGGGTGCACACAGCTCGAGTAGACTCAGCACAATATGCCAGTTTGATCCAATATGCCATTTAAAAACATGGTCCAGGTGGGTATTCATGCCACCAATCATGAACAGTATGTGTTTCCAGCCTGCTGCGTTTAGCTGGGCCCTGCGAACGTGCCCCCGCACTGGTTCGGCGCAGTTTGTGTGTCAGCGCTTTAAAGAACATGCAACCTTGTGTCACCACTCGATTCAAAACTGAATAAGACAAAGTCATCTGTGAAAGGTCACCAAACTGAAACCAAAGTGGATATCTATGGAAGCTCTATGTAATTGAACCAACTAACTTGGGATTTAAACCACACCCAAGTCACTTGGAAGTCTCCCTTAGAACACTATAATGAATATGACCCCGAACGCGATCTACAGAAGTGGCATCGGCCAAATGGACTGATCTCTGACGGTATTTTCTGAAAGGCTCTCTTGATATCTTTGCCAAAAACTCAAACTTTTCCTTCTGGCCTACAGCACATAAATATATCATGAAATCCTGAAATCTTGAACCTTCAAAGACGTTCATTCAAACAAATCCGCGTCCTTGGTGTCCCGTCGGCAACCTTGGTGAGCAAAGTCACAAAAGAAGGTTGAAGTGTGGACCGTGAAAATGTACCCGAACGACACTGCCCAACAACTTAAGCATGTTCCTTTTCGCACACCGAAAATTCCTTAGAGTTTCATCCAGCAATACTCTACAATATGTATACAGATGTACACTGCTCGATACTTCCCCATTCATTCTCTCCAAGGCTTTATGCCTGAAGACATGCTCAGCCCTCACTGTCGCTGAGGTGTCCGAGCACGCTGACGCGTCTGCTGCGCGAATGACGCGAAGACCGTGGAGATGCTGCTCGGTTCCATGGCGCGACGACTCAGTTCCTGCGGAACCCTCTTCGGATGACCCGTTGGAGGTTCATCCACCTGGGGGATGTTGTGGGTCTGGTCAGTTCCTCACTCATGAGAAGCTGAAGTCGTGGAGGCTTTTACCATCTGCCTTAACTTGTCGGATGTCGGGGCCTGTGAGATTCATCTCTCCTTGGATTCATCTAAGGCCAAGCTGAGCAGTGCGCCATGAAAGAACCAATCGTCCCGCGCGATTCAGGACATGGCGCGTGGATCAGGACGCGATGTCCTTCCTGGAAGGTTTGCCTGGAGAGAATCTCAAACATCCCAATCCCACAAAACAACGCCACTGACTGGTGGCCATCTTAGGAAAGCCTGTTTTCTTCAAAGGGAAAGGGACAAGCAAAGAAGGAGGATTCCCATGGGTTCCTCTGAAAACACCTTTTAAGATAGAAGCCTTATCAGACCGCTTAGGAAGAAGATCCCGAACAATCCATCGCCAAGACACTCACCTACACTGACCTACTGCCATCATCTCTCCACTTTTGACCACCGCGCCTTCATCCAAAAGTTCTTCCGCCAAGTGAGTTTCATGACTTTCCAACTTAATAGAACCTGTGCTTTTTGCGGGCAAACGCCCGCGAACGCCCTTCACCATTTGTGGGACACTCTTGTAGGACACTCTTGTGGGACACTCTTGTAGGGCACTCTTGTGGGACACTCTTGTGGGACACTCTTTTAGGAAAATCTTGTGGGACACTCTTGTGGGACACTCCTGTAGGACACTCTTGTGGGATACTCTTGGACACTCTTGTAGGAAACTCTTGTGGGACACTCTTGTAGGACACTCTTGTGGGACACTGTTGCGGGACACTTTTGGTGGGACACTCCTGTGGGACACTCATTTGGGACACTCTTGCAGGACACTCTTGTGGGACACTCTTGTAGGACACTCTTGTAGGACACTCTTGTGGGACACTCTTATAGGACACTCTTGTAGGAAACTCTTGTGGGATACTCTTGTAGGACACTCTTGTGGCACACTCTTGTAGGACACTCTTGTGGGACACTCTTGTAGGGCACTCTTGCGGGACACTCTTGTGGGACACTCTTATAGGACACTCTTGTGGGACACTCTTAACTCTAGTGAGACACTCTTGTGGGGCACGGTTGCGGGACACTCTTGTGGGACACTCTTGTGAGACACTCTTACGGGACACTCTTGTAGGACACTCTTGTGGGACACTCTTGTACGACACTATTGTGGGACACTCTTACGGGACACTCTTGTTGCACACTCTTGTAGGACACTCTTGTGGGTCACTCTTATGGGACACTCTTGTCGGACATTCTTGTGGGACACACTTGTGGGACACTCTTGTGGGACACTCATACGGAACACGCTTGTGGCACACTCTTGTAGGACACTCTTGTGGGACATGCGGGACACTCTTGTGGGACACTCCTGTGGGACACTCATTTGGGACACTCTTGCAGGACA